AATGTTTGCCCCCAAATCGGGGCAGCTGACCCTAGCCAGTCACTTTCCACAGCTTGGGGGCATCTGTCCATCTTGCTGGACGTTCTCGAAGGGGCTGGTCCAAACAGCCATTTGCGCTAAATGTGTCCGGCTTGTTCACCCAGTGCCAAAGCCCTCTCCTGCCCTTGCAAGAAGCAGGCCTCGCTCCTGCAGGGGCCCACTTGGCCATCCTGTGTGGCCCCTGGGCTCTTCTGTTCCTAGCTTGGAAGCGCTGCTGGACCTCGGGCAGGCCGCTGTACAGCCACCGTCACAATCCCCCTTTTGTCTATCAATCAGATGCCATCAGCTGCGCAATTCACCCCTGGCAGGTGAATCTGTCTGAGCAAGCAGGGTGTAGGACTCGCAGCTCTAGGAAAAAGGGGGTGAAGAAACCAGGGTGGGGAGAAAGGGGGCCTTTGGAACAACATTGGCACTTTCTGGGAGTTGGGGGTGTCGGAACATGCTAAATGGAGAGACCGGCGGAAGGGCGCCTCTGCAGAGCTTCGGGCGTCGGTGGGCATCCAACAGCTTTGGGGCGAGGGCTTCTGCCCCAGGCTGGCTCAGACAAGGAAGGGGGTGAATTTGAATCCCATTGGCGCCGTAGAATCAGCAGGCCCAACGGGAGGTTGTGGGACTCCCGTGTCGACTTCTCCCTCCATGTGCCGGCAGCGTTCCTGGAGCAGCTGGCTAGCAAATGCGGCCCGTAACCTTTGCCCGCTGATTTCTGCTGTTTATATCCTGCCTTTCAGGATCCAGACCCCACGGCAGGCAGCTTGCCCATAAGTCAGTGCTGCTACCCCAAAACAAGAGAGCCCACCTCTCTGCAGCCAAAAGCAGCAAGCAGAGTCTTGGATCTTTCCCACGGACGTCACGGCCGGCTGGCTGGCTGAAGAGAATCTAGCCGAAGCGTTATCCTTTGCCGTCGGCTTCTCCGTCGGAGGGGACCTGGGAGATCATCTAACCCAACCCCCTGCCCAATGCAGAAATCCAAATTAAAGGAAAGAGTCATAGAACAGAAGAGTCGGAGGGAACCTCAAAGATCATCTAGCCGAACCCCCTGCCCAGTGCAGGAATTTACTACTCCAGCATCCTTGACCGATGGCTGTCCTTAAAGCTTAGCAAACTTATCGTGCCTCCCTCCGGGAGCCGGCCGCCGCACCCCCGCAGAGCACCGGGGGCGGCCAG